CTTCACATCCTACGGGATATAATCCAATTGCCTATACTGAAATTGATTTTGCATCTTTTGTTTCATTTTGTTTTACATGTTTAATTTTTATGATAGAATCTAAATAACAGAGCATTTTTTTTCTTTGAACTATAATAATATAGATGGTTTAAAGTTTAGATTATATGGGAGCAATTATAGATTTAATATTTATTATTTTATTATTATTATTGTTTGTCTGTGAAAAAAAATCAAAGAGTTTTTATACTTTACAGGAGGATTAGGTTTAATAAGAAAGAACTGATATAATTATACACTTAAATTTAACAATGATATAGTTTATAAATAGTGTTCTTTATTCTAAACATGTTTCATATCAGAATACTTATAATGAGTTAAGAAAGGAGCTTTTTCAATAAAATGATATTTAATTTCATTTCAGGATGCTATAATTGTTAATCGCTATACTCTTTTTCTTTTTTTCCCTTTTAAGCTAAACGCTTAGATTTTTCAGTATACTGTTATGATGCAAAATTCTTTCAAAAATTTTATAAATCTTTGGGTTTGTTATGATAATCATTTCAAGCCTTCGATGATCATACATAATGATAATAATCATTATTATTTCAAGAATTAAACAGGTGTGCGATAATAAATTTGCAAAACTTGCAAAGATCTGAGCAACAAATATTGGATCATTTGGAAAAAATTTAAATAATAATGATATAAATGTCACATGAGTGATAATTAATTGGTATATTAGTTAACTAATATAATAAATATAAATTAGAGGTTAATACTTAAATATATAAACATGTGGTAATTGTAATATAATATTAAGGCATAAATAAATATGTAAGAGAATATTTAAGTTTCTCTCAAGTAATATCTAAATAAAGTTATATCCTTTATTATCTAATTTGTTGGTCATCTTATTTTTAATTAAGCAAGTGTTTGATCATTTTCTAACAACCCTAAATTAGATACTCAGTATAGTCTAATATGTATTAATTAAGTTTGGGATAGTAATATTGATTTTTTAATTGCATTGAATAGCATTTTTAGTTAAGGTATATTTTTACTAAGCAATAAAAGTTTTTGTTAAGAGTATTAAAATAGGTTAAATGGGTCATATGTTTTGTTGATATAGATCAAAGGTTTAAAAAATTTTTGGTTAAAAGTTAGGAAATAGATACATAGTAGGTGATATGATTTTATAGCAAAAATTTGGAGCAATTAATTGCATTTGACCAAGTTTTCAATAAGGATGAGGTCAGAACAAACTTACATGATTATGGTAAATCAAGTGATGCAATAAATAAAAGTCTAAAGCTTAATATAAATTATGGAAAAAATATTTATAAAATTGATATTTTTTAAATTTTCTTTCAATTATTATAGTATAATAGGAAAAATAACATATTTAGTCAAAAAGGGTGTATTACAAAGGTATACACGTTGTGTTTAATGAAATAATATAAGATTCATCATAAAATTACAAATAAATTAATAATTATTACCAATAATGATGTATTACTGTATAAATTATCAATTTACACTGATTATTGATTGATTTATAACATTTTGAATTAAATTATTTAAAAATAGATAAACTAATTTTTTTTTTTATAGTAAGCTTAGAGATGATATTAAAGTGATTTTAATAAGCTTGAAAATATTCTAGAACATAAACTATTTATTAAAATATTTCAGGATAGACAACATTTCTAGTACATCCTTCAATTTCAGATTTACCAAGATATATTTGTAATCTTTGGCAAGAAGTTACCCTTGAACATGCAACATATAATTAACTGTAGGAAAAGACTGGTGACAGAAGATACAAACCAACACAATTCATTGTTTGTCCTTGAGACTTATTAATAGATATAGCAAATGCAAGTTTGTATAAAAATTGTCTATGTTGAAGTACAAATAGGAGAGATGATCTAGTTGAAGACAAAGAAATGTGAGGTAAGAAGACACATCCACTGGCCAAAGGGCCATTGATAGGCTTTACTTCAATAATATAATCTTGAAGAGTTTTACAAATTAAGTGTTTTCTATTGCATAAGCTATTAGCTATGTTAATATTACACAATAATATTATAGGAGTATTAACTTTAAGTATTAAATTATATGAAGGCAATCCGCTAAAATTTAATGAATTAAAAAATTCTGTAGAATATAAACTTTCATGAACTGTATTATACATTTCAGAATTTTTATCTAACATATCTGCACTGTAGTAAGTTTTTTTGCTTTCAGAAAACTGGGCAAGAATTTTTGCATTAAGCATATCAATATCATCATTAAGTGGAGCAAGAATACCTCTTTCTGTGAAGTAAGTGGAATTTTAAATGTGGGTTTGCAAGTTAGAATATACAAATTCTATCAAATTTTGAGGTGTCTCAAATTGGAAAACAATATCAGAAGGCAAACATATAAAACTACTATCAGGCTGGACTTCAGGAATAAGCTCTTCACCAACCTGAAGTAGCCAATCAGCAAATTCAGATTGAGCTGCTGTGTCTGAAATATTGGCTAATATACGTAATCACATATTAATTGTTAGTTTTCTTATTTTTATATGTGGCTATAAATAAGAACAGCATAAACAGGCATTAACAATATCTTCTCATCTATCTTTTGGTACAATAAGAAGAATTTGTCTAAAATCTCTACCAAAGACAATAGCTTTTCCACCAAATGGTATGTGCTACAATTGTGAATTGACTGTGTCCATAATGTCACAAAATGTTCGATCAACAGCTTTGAAACCATGCCGATGTAATATAGGTGCTTCATCCCAAATTATTAGAACAGTTTGCTTCAAGAGATTAGCTAATTCTGTTCGTAAGGATATGCTACATGTTGAATCTTCATTCAATTGGATAGGAATTTTGAAGCAAGAATTTGCTGTTCTGCCACCATCAAGTAATAGTAAGGCAATTCTAGAGGACGTAACAGTAAGTGCAATTTTTTTTTCTGAATAAATTTTTGCTAAAAGAATTTT